CATCCTGGATAGGGCCTCTTTTGCAGATCTCACCATTCTCCCTGCCTGACCATTGGAGGCTGGATAGAATGGTGCGACCAGGGCATGTCTGATTCCCTGAGCTGCTAAGAAGGTCTCGCATTGCATGGCCGTGAATTGGGGCCCGTTGTCAGAGACCAGGTCATCGGGCAGGCCGTCTGTGGAGAAAAGTCTCCGTAGTACCTTGATGACTGCTTCTGCCATAGTGGAGGTCATCAGGACTACCTCTAGCCATTTCGAGTAGGCATCCACAACTACGAGGGATGTCTGGCCATGAACTGGGCCAGCAAAATCAATGTGCACCCTGGCACGGTGTGATTCCTGGCACGGTGTGCAGGTAGTCACCCATTCTTTGATCTCCCTGCCCATGTTAGGCCACCACACGTAACTCCTGGCCAAAGACTTCATTCTGACAATTCCAGGATGCCCTATGTGTAAAGCCTCTAATACTGAAGCTAGTATCTAACACAGACCGTTTTAGGTGTAAATGTGCATGCGTGCAATAATTTTTGTGTGCTGAACTGGCAGTAATGCCGGTAGCAACCCACCCCTGGATTCAACCCATAAGATATGAAAAGATAAATGTTGATGATCTGAAGATAACAGTAATATTCAATGAACTGATGCTTAAAAGTAATACCTTTTTGAAAAAAATGTGGTTGCTATTAATTGAATATTTTGAGGTCTGTGCTGTACATATAGGTGTCTCTTTACTATATTAAACCATTCTTCACCTTTGTGAAAATGGTAATTTCAAATAAATACTGCACAAAGGACCAAACCTTATATCCAATACTGAATGAGACTAATCCAAAATAATCTAGGATATATCTGAATTCAAATGGAATTGGGAATCCCTTAAAGCAAAGCAGAGCAAAGCAAAGCAAGTTTGGATACTTTCTTCAACATGCCCATGTGAGTGCACATGGACACTATAACATACAAATTATTTTTCTCTATTTCCATTTGATCAGATTCATCAGTTCAGAAGAAATTCCAGAAAGACTATGCACTAAAAGAAAGCAAGAATTTAACATTCTTAATGATGAAGAGATTCTGGAACACATTCAGCATTATCAGGCCTTGTAAGTTTTGTAGTTTTATTGCTTATCAGAAATATTTTTATTAAAGGGAATATACTAAAAGTGGAAATGAGTTGTAAGGGTTCACTAATATATGTGGTACCGTAATAAATAAATACATCTTTATTAGCTTCTTGTACTGTGGGTGTTTGAAGGAAGCTGGAGTCAACCCTTTAGTTGAACAGCGTCCAGGCGATTCCCCAAGAAAAAAAAACTGTGTTGCATACTTTTAATGTTATATCACAATACAATAATGAAACATTAGTGTAGTTTTTGGATTTTTTTTTGTGAGGAGCTGTAAAATCAGACAGGTAAAAACTGTGTTGTGTTGTCTATTCATTTCAGTCTATTCCACTATTAGACTGGCAGTCTTTTTTCTTCCTGGTAGCATGCACTAAACTGACTTTAAACAGAGAGGGGCAAATATTTCTTTTGAGTATTTACTCTAATTTGCAAATAGCCCTTCCACCTGAATTGTTAAACATTTCATTGCTTCAACACAGACTGGCAGCTGCATGAGTAGGAGTGAAAATTATAGCTTTCAGTCCCACAAGAAGTGCTAATCAGTATGTAGCCTTGGTCACAACAGCCTTGTTAGTGCTGATCATATTTAAGTGGACTCTTTACTCAGTCAAGTTTTCTGTTTTATATTACACAATGAAGATAGACTGTATTATCAAATATGGTTAATTCATTTATGGTTCCTTATGTTGTGCCAACACCACCCACTTGAAAAATCTTGAGGATTTTAAGTTAAAAGGAGGAATAGGAGCAGAAAGTGGAGTACTTGTTATATTATGCCCATAAACTAGCCTCATGTCAACCATTTTAACATAGATATTGCCTTTAGTTTTTTTTTAATTATGCAGACTTAAAAAACACTAAACAAATAACAAATTTTGCTTACATTATTTCTAATTGGAGCATGTCCCAGGGGTGCAGAGATTGGATGACTGGTTTCCAATGCTAGCAAGCCACTAAAGGTTTATTGGTGCGTTGCAATATTTAGGTCTGGTTTAGTATGAATCTATATTAGCCCAAAATTACAGCGTCTTCGCCAAGTTGCATGCTGCTTTCCATTCTATTTGGCTGGACCCTGCTTGGGGGCTGCGGTGAGAAGGGGTAGTTTTTGCCAAGCATTTCTTAGCACTTCCTTGGGCTTTTTACCTACAGCTTCTCTTAAGAAAGGAGGGCTCTATAGGTTACCAATTTTGCAACTGCTATACAATATATTTGTAGTTATTCTGGCTCCATTAACCCTTTCCTGTTCAAGTGCAAAGCAGGGTATTAATACTCCTATAAACAGTCTAAAAGCAGACTTCTGAATGTTACTGGGACAGAAGACTCCAATTTTAGTTCAAGAAAGCCTTCTGCTAGAAGTCTGGGATGAACTGTTTTGTTTAAGTTAATTAAAAATTGCAACTTTCACCTATGCTATGACATTACAAAAATATGCTTTTCCACTGCAAACAGGATTAAACGTATAAAAGGAAGACAAAACTTCTTGAGCAAGCTGAAGAATCAGGTTAAATCTTTAAACAGAAAAGTAACTGTGGTTTGTGGTGTGGCAGGTTCGGGAAAAAGTGGGATCATTGCAGAAGTAGCTTCTTTGGCTTCAAACTGGATTTCTGGGTAAGAATAATTATTTGCACTCCTTTCTGGCAGAGATATAAAGAATTGTTAAGTCCTGAAATATAGGTAGCTTAAAAATGAATCTTCAAAAAAAGTCAACATAGAATTTGGACAAATTCTTAACAGATCTTACTTACTGCTATCTGGCATGCTTGCTTCTTATGAATTAGCTTATTTTGGATCCCAAAGTCCTCTGAATTATGTAAAATAACTTTATATTGAAAAATGAAAATACATATTAAGTTTGTAATAGCTCAAGTCAGTTCAATAATCACAGTTTTTTTAAAAAAGTAGTTATTTAAAAAACATGCCATATATAGTATAGCTAAGGTGACCAGATTTTCAGATTGGTAAAGAGGGACACCTTTGACCGGGGGGTGGGGTGGGGGGTGTTTGATTAAAAATTTTATATGGAGCAACAAAAATTTTCATACAATGCAAAAATAGTATTGTAATATTTTTTTTTATTTCAACATAACTACAATTTACAAATATAAATTGTAACTGTTGCCAAACATCTGAATTTTGATCACGTGACCATGAGGATGCTGCAACAGTCACACAAAGCTTGCAAAAGAAAGTCT